GTCTCGTACCAGTTCTCTGCTGCTGTACTTGTACTCAGTGTGACTTGCCGTTTCGGCATTGGGAATCCAAGACTTCGACTTTGTGCCTTGCCACTGTGTCTGCGTCCAACCCTCAGTCCGAGTCCATCGTGTCGAGTGAGTGAGTGTGTGTGTGTGCTCTCACTCTCTCCCTCTCTCTCTCCTCTCCCTCGGCTCACCCTCAGCCTCACTCCCGTTACATTTTTTTTTTTTTTCACTTGTCACTTGTGTTGATTTTTTATTCGTTCCCTTTCGCTTTGTTTCACCTTTCTATATTTATGGGCTTCATGTTTCGCCATGGGCTTCATACTCTTTACACAGTTGTTTCTTGCGGGTTTTCATCGTCATCGTGGTTGTTGTCATTGAGCCTCGCTCCACTAGTCAGCAAAGGTGCAAAATGAGAATGAATCTTCCGCTAGAACATGGGAAGACACAGCGCCATCATTTTTTGTCTTTTGTGCATGTGGAGACTAGTGGAGCGAGGCCCATAGTCATTGACATCTGTCTTGAGTTTTCCGACGTCATTGTCAGAGTCCTCGTCGTCATCATCGTCATCGTCATCTTTTTCACCAGCATGCCAAGGATGTCACTTGTGATTGTTGTGCTGCAGGGAGTGTCTATATCTGTGTTGCGCCGCGCCAAAGCAGACGGTGGTCACCTGGTAATCAGCGGACAAGATCTGTCCACATGGCGGCTGTAGACTTGTCAGAGTCGACGGCTGTGGCTGAGACAAAGCTGAAGCTGGGATCGGGATTGCTCAAGGTTGTTGGGGACGAGTGCAAGCGCGATGGTGGGCTTGCTGCAGCAGGCATGGTGCAGCTCTTTGCGCATATTCAGCTAGCGGTTAAATCTGTATCATCGGTTGTTTCCCGGGCATCGTTGGAGGGTTTGATGGGATATTATGAGGAAGTGGGAGATGGAGGAAGAGGAGGAGGAGGAGGAGGAGGAGGAGGAGCAGAGAGAGACAAGCAGAAGAAACTGGATGTGGTCGCAAACGATATTGTGAAGAGGGTGTTGGCCGACTCGGGGGTGGTGGCTGCTCTAGCCTCAGAGGAGGACGAGGAACCGGTCTTTGTGGCAAATGGTGGCGAATACGTGGTTGTGTTTGATCCTTTGGATGGTTCTAGAAACATCGATGCTTCCATTCCGACGGGCATGATCTTCGGCGTGTATGCGAGGATTGGGACCCCATCTGGATCATCATCAGCATCTACAACTGAGTGGTCCCTTGCCAATTCGCTTCAGCCAGGGAGTACGCTGCTAGCTGGAGGATACGCCCTGTTCTCATCGGCCACGATGCTGGTCCTGTCGTTGGGACATGGAACACATGGTTTCACACTTGATACGTCGTTGGGTGAGTTTCTGTTGACGCATCCCAATATTCAGATACCAAAAAGGGGCCAAATTTATTCAGTGAACGACGGAAGGTACTTTGATTGGCCGCAAGGTCTTCGCAACTACATCGATGACATCCGTCAGGGGAAGGGTCAGAACCCGAAGAAATACTCTGCTCGGTATATCTGCTCTCTGGTGGCGGATGTGCACCGAACACTTCTCTATGGCGGGATCGCCATGAATCCTCGCAGTCATTTGCGCCTCGTATACGAATGCAATCCAATGGGTTTCATTGTGGAGCAGGCAGGTGGAAAAGCCTCCGATGGGAAGCGGCGGATCGTCGACATCAAGCCGTCCAAGTTGCATGAAAGGTTGCCTCTGTTTCTCGGAAGTTTCGATGATGTACATGAGCTCGAGAGCTATGGCGACGTTCAGCAGGTTGTAAACCCAGGCTATCAAGTGTAAAAAGTACGAGGAAGCTCTGTTTCATAATTTCATTTGTGTGTAACCTCCTCACACGTCTTGTTTTTCATGTCTTCCTCTCAGTAACAGCAAACAGCGCGCTTGCGCTTGGCTATCTTTCTCGCAGCAAAACCTCCCTTATTCATGTTGCTCGTCCTTATTACGACATCCTTTGGAAGTTCTCTTTCCGTCCGTTCAGGTTTGAGTAGTGATCTATGCTTGGCTTTTCTTAGCCCTTCCCATTGCCCTCCCCTCTCAGTCCTTTTTCTTTCTTTCCTTTCTTGTGTGTGTGTATTGGGGAGGGGGGAGAAGGGGGAGAGAGGGTAGATATGTCACATTTTCACCACAGAAAACCTGTTTGTTCCATCTTCATAATGACTGTCTTTGCACTCTTTCTGTCAGCATTCATGTTGTTGTCAGCTTTCTTGGCCTTCACTCCCCGAAGAGTATGTCGTGTTTTCTCTAGAGGGCAGATTTGTTACATTTTTCACCACACCAAGCCTGTTGGTTTCGGCTTCATAAAATCAATCTTTTTCAGTTTCTCTCAACATTTACGTCAACTTTCTTTGCCTGCTCTCTACGGAGCGAAAGTTGCATTTCCCCCCAGATCAAGCGTCTTCTTCATAACAACAATCTCTGCACTCTGCCTCTCTGCAATTGCTTGACTGCACCCTCCCGAGGGTGGTGTGATGTGTGTCTGACAGCAACCCTTCTATCAAGATGCAGTATTTTACTATTTTTGTCTTTGTTTCTTATTTATTTCCCATCCAGCTCAACATAAATTCACATTATGATAACCTAATGAATCTGATCCCAAGACACCCTGCACACCTTCCTCTTCCCCGCTCCCTCCCTCTGCCTGCTGTGCTCAGCCTACCGTTTTGTTGTCTTCCCTTTTCTCTTTTGCCTCAGACCCATTTGGCAGGCTTTCGTTTTCGTGCCTTGGATCCATGTCTCCTGGTCTTCATCTCCCTCCTCTCTCTTTGACGGCCATCTCTTCATTTTCAAGGATTCTGCGACTGCACTCAATCATTCCACTGCTGTACTGATGCCGGATTTCTGATTCCTCACTGCTTTCTTCCCTTGTCTTGTAGATGTTTCTCTATATCTCAAGGATGATGAGGAGGAGGAAAATGTGGCGGTGACAGAGGAGTATGAGGAGGAGGCATAGGAGGAGGAGGACGAGAGTACAAGGAAGAGGCGGCGGCAGAGGACGAGGAGGACAACTAGGACAAGATGGAGGCAGAGTAGGAGGAGGACAAGGCCAAGGCGGCCGCAGAGCAGGAGGAGGAGGAGGATAAGGCCATGGCAAAGGAGGAGGAGGAAGAGGAGGCAGAAGCAGAGGAGGATGGCGAGAATGAGGTGCTGGGAGAGGAGGACAAGGTTGACGAGGATGAGGCAGCAGCAGAGGAGGTGGAGGAGGAGGAGGAGGAGGAGGAGGAGGAGGAGGACGACGACGAGGAGGCGGCGGCGGAGGAGGAGGATGATGAGGACAAGGCAGTCACATGGGAGGATGAGGAGGGCGAGGACACGACGAGCATGAGGTGGCGGCAGAGGAGGATGAGGAGGAGGGGGGTTGGGCAAGAAGGAGGTGAAGATATGAAGGCAATTGAATGGGAAGAGATGATAACAACCATGAAAGTGAGTGAAAGTGGGGAAAAGGGAGAAACTACTACTGTTTTGCTCTAGATCCATAGAAGTTGTTGATGAAGAGGGGGAGGACTATGAGAGCCAAGAGGAAAGATCACAAGGCAGATGGAAGAAGATCAAAAGGAATCAAGAGCAAAAGCAATTGAAGTGAACAACAGGAGATGATGAAGGCTAAAGCGAAAGATGCTGGTACCACTTCTGATGACAGTTGTTGCATGGTTGAAGATGAAATATGTTGACACCCTCAAGAAAGAGTAGAACATGGTGTACGCTGACAATCGTGGAAATGGGACGCAAGTGGAAGAAGGTAGGTGTTGCAGAAAGCCGTGGGCTTTTTCTATTTCTTTGACAGTTGATCAACCGTCCTTCATGGATGCAAATGCTGCAGACTTGAAGGCTGTCATCATTTGATTCACCCTTGAAATTAACCTTATGTCCAATGTTACTGAAGGTCTAAAGAATGGGGCCTTAAAGCACTAGTACCTTTGTTGGTTCAGCAAATAGTGGGCCTCCAACCTTTCAGGAGGCCGAAAGGAAACGACAGCCACCAATTTATCAACGGCAGCCGTTGTCAGTCCCGGCCTCCTAGAAGTTTGGGACTAGGCTAAAACTTGTCGAAACAGGACGGCAAAGGTACTACCGTCTTCACCCGAATAGAGCGCCTGGTCATTACAGCCGTATTTGTTGCAATTTTCAGTCGAGATACAGCTATAACGACCGGGTGCTCTATTCGGGTGAAGACGGTAGTGGTTTAACATTTGATTGCTTCAAAAAAAAAAAAAAAAAAAGGGAAAAAAAAGTGTTTGATTAGTTCACTTCAGTTGTTAAATCACCGGTACTGGAACCCTTCCTCCCAACCTTGCAGCCGTAAGCATAGAGCCTGCGTTTTTCGAGGTACCAGCCTGCCTGTGGCTGGTTTGATCTGTACTGGGTTTGGAAGTTTTCCTTGGGAGAGAATCGGTCGTTTGCTACTGGTGGTTTAACAGCCTGGCTGTGGCTGGTTTGATGTGTACTGGGTTTGGAAGTTTTCCTTAGGAGAGAATCAGTCGTTTGCTACTGGTGGTTTAACCAATTAATTCTCCCCATGAATAGATCAGACCCTTGTTTTTGTTATTAAAACAAGTGAACCGGCTGCGGCCCAACGCCAGCCCCACCCCCACCCCAGGCACAGTCATTATCTGGCCCGGGCGACATTGAGGGTGTTTGTTTTAGACCATGAGAGACGTGCAGCATTCAGGGGGTCATTGGCCAAGGCATCAGCACGCCGTCGGATCCTTTTCAAATTAGAACTATTTTGTTGTGGTCGCAGCTGGATTCGAACTCACGTCTGCAATTCAACAGTTTCATGTGTGCATCAACTGAGCAGCCTGCCAATGTGCAAAATGAGAAGGAATTGCAATAACCCATGCCATATGTCTCGTGGAACTGAGGGCCATCAGAAGGCCGCCCTCAGCCCAGGCCAAATAAGGGCAGAAAAAGGCCCTACACGATTTCAGGGCCTGGGCGTGTGACAGTTGACTTCGGTCAACTGTCGGTCCACCCAACAGTCAAAGTCCAAAGGTACCTAGCTCAGGCCGCAGGTCAAGCACACACAATTGTTTGTATGCAGGTACCCAGACAGCATCAGGTCCAAAGGAGAAGTCTGCAACTGTACAATCGGGGGCTTGAGATGTGAGTCAATCTGGACGACTGGAGGAAAGGCACCCTCGGCCAGACCGCCTCGACGACTGCTACATAAGGCTGGCCTTGAGCAAGTCCAGCATTCAGTCTTGCTATGCTGGTTCAATGCTGGCTTGACTTTGACTAGACGCTGGCATTATGCTAGCGCGATGCTGGCTAGACGCTGGCTGTGCAGCAGAGCTGCGGACGACGACACAAGGGGAATGCAGCACGCTGGCATTAGACGCTAGACTTACTGACGTGGCATGCTGACGTGGCGCTGCCTCTGGTACATGTGGCGCTTCCTCTGGTCTACGGGGCATGCTGACGTGGCACTGTCTCTGGTTGGCGTGGCGCTGTCTCTGGTTTATGTGTGGCGCTGGCTCTGGTATATGTGGCGCTGCTTCTGGTCTACGTGTCACTGTTATTAGTCTTCATTGATGATGTGGCATCACCACCTGTCTTGATTATGACGTGGCATTGTCCACGCTGTCTACATGAGGTGACTGGTTGCGAGGAAGAGGAAGATCGGGATTGTGGAGAGATCGTGAATACGTACCTGGTTGTCTTCATGTCAACATTGCCCCAGAGTTGATGAGGGACTAATTAGACGTGCCACCTGGCACATTGAGGTTACTTCAGATACTCGTTCAGACTGTTGATTATTGAAGTGGTGTTAGGGAGGGAGCCCGAAGCAGCAGTGGGCATTGTATTTATTTCCTCTCCTTTGTCTAATCTCCCTCCTCTCTCCTTCGTCTGTGTATGATTATCTCGTCTCATTCTGTCTGGACACGATCTTGACTATTGGTAATCATCTGCTGGTTGACATTCATCTGGACTTGCATTGTTGATAACTGTCTTCACGATCTGGCGCTGCCTCTGGTACATGTGGCGCTTCCTCTGTCTACGTGGCATGCTGACGTGGCACTGTCTCTGGTTGACGTGGCGCTCTCTGGTTTATGTGGCGCTGTCCTTGGTCTACGTGGCATGCTGATGTGGCGCTGCCTCTGGTATATGTGGCGCCGCTTCTGGTCTACGTGGCGCTGCTATTAGTCTTCACTGATGATGTGGCATCACCACCTGTCTTGATTATGACGTGGCATTGTCCACGCTGTCTACATGAGGTGACTGGTTGCGAGGAAGAGGAAGATCGAGACTGTGGAGAGATCGTGAATACGTACCTGGTTGTCTTCATGTCGACATTGCTCTATAGCTGATGAGGGAGTAATTAGACGTGCCACGTGGCACATTGAGGTTACTTCAGATACTCGTTCAGACTGTTGATTATTGAAGTGGTGTTATAGAGGGAGTCCGAAGCAGGAGTGGGCATTGTATTTATTTCCTCTCCTTTGTCTAATCTCCCTCCTCTCTCCTTCGTCTGTGTATGATTATCTCGTCTCATGCTGTCTGGACACGATCTTGACTACTGGTAATCATCAGCTGGTTGACATTCATCTGGATTTGCATTGTTGATAACTATCTTCACGATCTGGGTTCATTGCAATTTGGTATCGGAGCAACTCTTCATCGCGATCTGCTGTCGGTTGTCAGGTGCTGACGTGGCACGCAGGTAAGTAGGAGGTGCCGCATGTGCAATATGAAACACGTTTATTAACGCGCGCGGTCACACCGCAAGTCTAGAAATGGTAAAAGTGCACTTGCGAGCAGGCGTCCCTTGAAGATGATGACAAGGCTACGCTGAAGATTGAAGAGCTGCGTTGGCAACAGGCTGACGTGGCGTTGGTACCGTTGATGTGGCACATTGTTATGTGGCATGCAAGGCATGGTCTGACATGGCACGTACCTGATACTGCTTGCGGTTGATGTGCTGACGTGGTATATTGTTGGAAGGCAGACCTGCATTGCGACGTGGCATCCCTCCTTGTAGACCTATCGGGTCCTTGATTTGTTGATGTGGCAGACTCTTTGAGTTGCTGTGTTGGCAGGCCAGGGGTGACACGTGGCATGTGTAAGGACTGTTGAAGGTGTGATTGTGCATTTGGGTTGTACTGCTGTTGCAGATGATTGAGAAGATAACTAACCATTGATTGTGTTATGTGTTGATTCTACTTACCTGTTGGTTGTCTGTGGATGTTGTGCATACTTACTTTTGTGTTGTTGTTTTGATCACACTGGCCGCGGTTGTCGTACCTGTAGTTGTAGAGTGTCATCACAATAGACAACAAAAGTTAGAACTCAGAAAAGACTTGGAATTTTGTTTTTTCCGAGAAATTCTTGTTGAAAGTTGCTGTAAAAGACCCGTGTACTGTGAAATTTATTTTTGTCTTTTAATTTTATTTATTGTGCAGTAAATACACGCGGGCAAAATGAACTTTGTCTGGAAATGTCTGTGTGCCTCCTTCTTGACGCGGTTGGTTCCACTTCTCTTCTTCCCTATCCCTATCATGGTCTATGCAAATGTCGAAGGAGGGAAACTTAAGATGCGTGGTCGGATTGACGCAAGAAGGCAATTTCTGAAGGTCCTTCTTCATCAGTTGCTTGGTGAAATACATGGTGACCGAGACGCTAAACAGCATGTTCACGGACAGTTCAACCTGCAAGCTATAGAGGGTGAACTTGATGCCGCTGAAACTGCTGTTCAGATGATGGAAACCGACAGAAGGGTCGAAGACGTCAAAAAACAAGGGCGTATTGCTCTTGATCGTTATATTGTCGAACACTTAGAAAAATTGGACCAGAAAAGAAAAGATAAGGAAGAAGAAGGAAAGGAAAGAAAGAAATTGTCTGTAGAGATAATGGAGGAAAACACAACACAACTAGAAAAATCTTTCGAAGAAGAGAGAAAGAAGATTGAGGAGTACCGGAGGAGGAAAGAAGAAAAATAACAGCAAGAGAGGATGTTGGAAGAAATGAGAGAACGGTTTCACTTCGGGGAAGTTGAGACGGATTAATCAATTGTATTGCAATCTATCGTGACTTATCTTATTCACCTTGAAAGGAAGACAGACTCCAACACTGTCTCATTGGAAACTATGTTGAGATTGACAAAAGGAAAGGATAAGGTGAGTATTGAGGAGGAGGAGAAGGGGGAAGATAGGAAACCACCCCAAGACAAGTTAATGAAAGATGCAATGCGAAAGGAGGACAAACTCGGGCCCTCAACGAAGGAGTCTGAAATACCGGCCAAGAAAGAAGCACCGGCCGACAAGAAAGAGGAACCGGCTAAGGAAGCGGAAAAACCGAAAAAGAAAGAAAAAGTTAAGATGAACTTGTCGTTTACCTACAACAACAAAAAGGAAGAAAATATGTTGTTGTGGATCATCGAAATACAGACTTACTCTAGCACTGCACCCGTTGAGCCTGAAAGTCAGGTTGCTTTCTCCACGTCTTGTCTGGAAGGAGTGGCCAGGCTTCGAAGATATAGGTGAATGGTCTAAGACTCTGACGTTGAGACAATTTCTCCAAAAGATAAAGGAGAGATTTCTCGATAAAACGATGGCTGATAAAGTTTTCGACGAGCTCAG